CCGAGTCCTAGTGCGGCTTGCACAGAGAACCTTCCTTTTACGCCCACAATAAAATATGTCTGGCCTCTTGGAGGATTAAGAGGCAGACCAAAAGAAACACAGATTACTCCTCACCCTCTTGTGGATGGGAGCTCACAAGCACACGGCAGCAGTCCCCTCTCTCCCAGCCTCAAAGATATGCAGAGTATGAAGACGTAAGGGTGTACGTAGATTGTCGATTGCAAGCAGCTCATCACAACGTGTAACACACCACAAAGGTTGTCACATAAACATGCACCAGGTACATGATGACTAACAGCAGATACCCTAGTTAATGGGAAAGGAAAGTTCTGTTCTTACTTAAGTGGAAAAGAGAAGGACTCTAGAAGGTGTACTCACCAAAAACCACAGCTTGCTTGGTCTGGTTCTTTCTCAGATGAGGAACAGGAGTATGGGAAGATTCAGACAGTGCACTTGGGATTTCTCTGTTCAGTTTTTGGAGTCCTTCTGAGGCAAATCCTAAAATTTAAAAAGAAGGACAAGTTATCTATCTCAATAGAAGTTTCATGCGTACGTGAAAAACTGGAGAATCTCTTTCTCCAGAAAATGAACCAAATTACTCCAATAATCATGCAAGAAGTGTAAACCTTTGTCCTATTTTTGAAGAAATGGGGAACAGGGATAAGGCAATGACCAACCGATGGATTGTTTTTCTTTAGAACACACAAAACTTCAGTCTACCACACATTGTTTAGGAAGAAATACAGATGCAGCTTCTATTTTACATTTACAGATTCACAAAAACAAGAGGTAATATCCTTTTATGGAGGTAAAGCTAGCTAGCTGCTGGGAGTTCCCACTCCATCCGGGCTTACTCTGTGCATCACTAACAGAGCACCACCACTGTCTTGCAGCACCCGACAGGATCCCAGAAGCCACTGCAATGCAAGTCCAGCTACCAGCCTCTACCCGGCCGAGGTCTGTATAAAATTGGCTTAAGTCTGTCCTAACATACATTAAGACTCTTCGAGGGGTACTTTTTCCAGGCAGTGGCTGATGAAAACTCTTGCCTGGGATTCTGGAATAATCCTAAAAGGCTTGATACAGAGAAATATTCAAATAAAGAGGATTTGAAGTACAGGCCAAAGGCATTTCAGACGAAGTACTACAATATATCCTAAGCACAAAACTTTGACCTTTACTTCATATCTAGAACTATAATGTACTTGGCCCCTATCAAGTCATCTGAAGTCCCACCCTTCTGTCTCAATTCCTAGGACCCAATATGGTTCCGTGATTGCCACACCAGACTGGGAGTGAGAGATTACAGCTTTATTCCGCCTTCACCGTGTTCTGCTCTGTGATAGTAGGCAGATGATTTTACTGTCTGAGCCATAATCTGCTAAAAATAAAGGAGCTGGATTATCAGTACTGTTCAAGAATATTTTTATTGTTAGTTATTTTCTTTTGATTTTTATTTTTAGCACTTGGTCTCTCATGGAAAATTCTACTTAGACATATAAACCAATACAACAAGGAGGGGTTAGAATGCAGGTAGGAGGTATGTGAGGAGGTATCCCAGTGTGGCCCCAGGGAGAAGTCAAGAAGGCCTTTAGGCTGCTAGAGAGCAGTGTGGAACCTCAGGATTAAATGGTGTCCATGGCCAGCTACAACTGAAAATTATTTTGCCATAACAATTTTCATTGAAATAACTGGTACACAGTGGGAGTCACGGTATCAGGGGAACAAAAACAATAATCTTAATCAGGACTAATTTAATCCTATTATTATCTCAACGTAAAAAAGGGGGGTCACCCTCGAATTATAAAGTGATAGCAGTAAAACTATTTACTTCTCAATGCACATTGTCCTTACCCAAATCTGTGACAACATCATCCCTTGACGGTTACATTCCGGGTAATACCTAACAATCCACATCACAGTTTGATAAAAGCTATTGGGGGGAGGGGAGGAGAGGGGAGCAAAAGAATGTGCACTGAACATGCAAATTACAGTGTGTCTTAAAATTAGTTGTACAATATTGAGGAAATAGAACAAAATTTAGACAGCTGCATCAATCATTTACTAGCCCAGTGAACCTGGACAGGTTTATTAAGCTTTCCACAGCCTCTACAAAGAGGAGATAATTCAGAGAGTTATGTATAAAGCGTCATGCTGGGCACGGATGATTTGTGCCGAATATTGAGATTTTCTCTGGTTCTGTAATGATAGATTAAATGCTGCTCTTTTGAAACCTATTATCATAGTAATAGACGTGCATGCTCTCTGAGATGAAGTAAAGGAATATGATGATGTTAACACCGCAGCCGAGCCTCCTAACTGCAGTCGCGCCGCACACTGGCTCTGTCCTGGCCATTCCCACCACTGAAGCCAGTCCAGCTCTCACCACAGGCATCAAGACCTTCAAAGATCATACAATTTGGTCGGAACACCCTCTCACCCCTACTGTCTTCAGAAAAAAAAAAAAAAAAAGTCCTTAACAAGGCCTGAAGACTTTTGATTTTGTCACTGTCTGCCATACACAGGCTGTCCCAGTGAGCCACACCCTCCGCAGCTACCTGCCTATGCAGTTGGTACTCAGCCTTAAACTTTAGTCTGCTACGAAGCCAGCCCTGGAGCCCCCCAGATGTGGCCCACAATGCCCGGTGACCTCTCAGCACTCCTCTCGGCCCAGGGTGGAGGCGAGAAAGTGCTACGCCGACATCCATCATGGTAGAATGTTGTGCAGTTTTCTGTAAGGCAAGCTTACAGTCTTTGGCCTGGTGGTGGTCTGGTCGCCTTCTGCCAGTTTTAACTGAGATGCTAAAGCCCCACACAATCCTAGCCCCTTGTGAGTGTTTTACTGTTTAACTCACGTATGGTATTGTTACTGTTTAATGACAAGCACATATTTTTATACTGCTATTTGTAGTTAAAATCACATTTTTATTCAAAAGCTATTTCTGAAAAAAAAAGGGGGGGCTTTCATAGGAATAAAGAAATGGAATGAAAAAATAAAATCACTTTACTATTCCAATTTCTGGAAAGCATGAATTCTAGTATCTATACTATATATCATCAGAGATTGAATGTAGTTCATAGGAATGATACATTTATGGATTTCTTTTAAGCTCAAATATTTCCTGCTGCTTGGCAGCATGAAAAGAATTCTCAAAGGAAGCCACATGATATGGATTTATCTTCTTGTACAGCTTTTACCATTGACAGCAAATCAACTATGGGGAAAAAAAAAAAAAAAAAAAAAGGACAGCATCTAAAAAGAGTGTTAAGCTTGAAAGTGAAGATTGTGAACCGTGATGCTCAAAGGAAATGCATCCTGAAATGTTCCCCGGTCACCTTCTCTAGCTATGCGCTGTGTCCCTAAAGAAAGGAACAGAGCAAAGAATGATCAAGTCTCAACCAAGTGGAACGGTACTGCGGTGGACTAGGCGGAGTGCCAAGCGCTGTCGGAGGAGTCTTGCTTCATCACCCAGACACGAGTAGAGCGGCCCATGCACAGCAGCACGGCAGCTCCTTGCTGCTACAGCCAGTGAGGCCGACTCTGACTCTGCTCAGTGTGGAGCTGACAGCGCCGAGGCTTGGCGGCACAGCGAGGCTGTCTCATGGCCAAGGGCCCTTAGCTGACTGCAGTGAAGCTGGGATTCAAGCCCAGGAGGCCTGAAGACAAGATGTGCCTTCTTAATTAGCATGCTTCTGTTGAGGAACCCATTGCTTTGCCCCTCAGTTTGGAAGAGTGGAAGATTCAAAATCTGTGCTATAAAAAATGAGCAGTTGCCATGGTTCGGATCTTAAATGTTCCCCAAGGTCTGTGTATGAGGCTAACGGAGGTGGAGGAAGCTCAGGGCAGGGGGTTGTGGGTAGTCTGGGGTTCCTTAGGGCAGGCTGCCCAAGTGGATGGGAGACCCTAACCACTCCACCTCCTTTTCACTTCCTAGCATTATTGTGGGCAGCCCTGTTCCACTACCTGCCCTGCCAAGATGTGCAGCCTCTAACACTATGCTACAGTAAACCTTTTCTCTGTATAAGCTGATTGTCTCGGACAAGTGTTATAGCATCAGATAGCTGACCAACACACAAACGACCCTATGTGTGTGTCACTGCAGTTCAGGGTTACCTCAAGGAGTCAGAATTAAACAACAGACTCATGGACTGTCAAGGTCCACCGACTAATTTTTTTCAGGAGCCACAAGTAATCAATTTTACACAGATGTTTTTCATATCAAAACTAAAGACAGGAGTCTAACTTTTGGGATAAAAAGCAGAGAATGTCAGATCCTCATCTTTATCATGGGCTCTAAAATACCTGGTGTTCCAGTTTTTTCCCTAGATTCTGAAAAAGCCTTCACATTTTGCCAAGTTTTTAAGAAACCAAAGAGCTCGTGAATTAAATAAAGCCTGAAATTTTAGTTTCTACTACTTGGTCAGCAAGCCCTAACCAGCCAGTTCTTTTTCGCAACATTTAACAAACTTATCTACCTTTTTAGTAGTCAAAAGAATGAACATATGTGAATTCACCAGAAAGGAGCAATTTTAAAAAAGAAACAAGAATCGCTGAATTTTTAAGTCTGATTCATAGATGGTGGCTGTGAGATTAGTACTTCCCAACCTCCCGGAGTTTCTGTGTGTTGACATTTGACCCCTTTTATAATATGCACCTTGTACCAGCGAAACTAAGGCACCGGCTAGTTACTCATTAAACTTGGGTGCCCAGGGCTGACTTGTGCAAATTACACTGCTAACTGCTCAGCTTGGTCTGAGTGCAGAAGGGGAAAAGAACAATCATCATAGCTGTGAAATTCTGTCATCTCGGCAGAATTGAACCACAAATTGCAGCAATTCAGGCCTGACCTCTGATCTGTGAAGTGAGGGAGTCTAAACCTTTGGACCTCAGCTCCATGTTGAGAAACAGTCTTTCCTTGTACCGGAGAAGATGGTCTCTGAGCCCAGGACTGTTGTTCACCCCCAAACCCACCTCTCCCAAAGAGCTGAGGAAAGCGAGACAGCAATGGTGGTGACCAAGAGGGCAGGCATGGCACCAAGTGGCATTTTCAACAAACCTAATAAAACTAGGAAATTGCAGGACACAAACGTTTTTAAATGCATATATCCAAATAAGAAAATCTGAGCTAGTGTAACTGAAATTATTGGACATTTAATACCTAGTGATATGTGCACTCAAAAATTCTCTTGATAAATTAGAGAATGAATTAAAAACTAACATCTTTTAAATTGGTCTTTAAAAAAATAAATGATGGCAGCCCTCATTTGGGATGCTTTTAATAAATGTACTATCTAATCTGTACTATAAAATACAGGCCCACATTAAGGACCCTTTGGAAAAAGCAACCATGGGAAACCAGTTGTATTTTTCTTTGAATTCAAACTTACCTTTTGACGCTAACAATATATAATGTTACTAGACAAGTAAATTGACACTGTATACTAATAAATAAATATAATCATGAGGCTTTGTGTATGGACTCTGTTGTATCACTGCT